TGATTGCAACGCCCAAGACCTGGGTTCGAACCCCAGGTCTGCATAATGTCCATATTATTTTTCCAATTATCTTCCTATGCAGGCACACCATTAAGGACTACCATATGCCTTCAAGAATCCCACAGCCACGCGTCCTGGAGATTAAATAAAGGGCATAGATTGGAAGTGTATCCTAGGCCTGGTCAAAGGTGCCACATGGTGCCTGGAAAGGTCAACGAATTTGAAGCTTAATGGGCCAGATTATTCAAAATCATACCTCCAATTTGGGACTTCCACCCCCCCTGGTTTGCAATTCTCCATTTTTTTTTTATATTTTATTCTTAATTATTATTTTATTTGCTTTATTGTTTAAATTTAATTAATTATTTTTACAAAATACAAAAAATGCCTAAAAATCAGAAAAGACAAAAATATAGTAAATAATTTTTATTTCTAATATTTTCATAAATAAATGCATGTAAATAAATTTAGTTTAAATTAGGGTTTGCAATATTAATTCTCTTCATAAAAAAAATCTCTAAAAAATGTAGAATTAGGTTTAATAAATTTTATTCCTTTTAATTTTTTTCTGTTGTTTTCACAATAATAATATTTATTTTATAATTAAACTTGTAAATTAATTAGGGTTTCATTTAGGTTAAAAAACTCCAATATTTTTCTTAATAACTTAAAAAAATAATTAGAATTAGGTTTAGTATTTTATTTTAATTAATTTTTTCTATTAAATCTTAAAAAACATAAAAATACCAAAAACATTTTCTTTTAATTTTAACGTTAATTCCTTATTAATTTAAATTTGCAAAAGGGTCCAACACCCTCGTTTCGATAATTCTTTTATTTCGCATATTTATTTTATTTCGCTCAAATAATTATGTATCTCTCCCAAAGCTTTGTAACATTTACTTCTCGCACTTTTTAATTCTTTATTTACTTTTCTGTCAAATCGGGTCCGGTTTAATTTTGGCGATGTGGACCCGCGCCATTTGTAATAGCTTTAGATTTACTTTCCCGCAAACTTTTAATCGTTAAACAAAGCATGTAAGAATGAATGGCCTTAAATAAAATCAAGCGTAGAACACCAATAAACATGACAAGACAAATACAAACGAAAACGACACACAAATCGCACACACCACCCCTAGGGTGCGCCTCACTGTTGCCTTGCCTTCGAAAGGTGATCGTCGAGTAGAGGATGTCTTAGTAAGTCCTCATGATCCGGGAACCTGGCATGAGGGTAGCTTCTAAGGTGTCTTCCCATTGCTCTGGTGATCACCATGTCCCGAACCTCGAATTGACCCGAACACCTCCAACGGTGGTGCTACCTACCTCTCAATGGTGGGATGGCACTACTTTAAAGGACATCTACACAGACGAATTCCTTAGGGTAGGTAGACGACTCTAGATACTTGCTCTAAATCTCAAAACAAAAATTCAAAAATACTTTTCACACCGACACATTTTCAAAAAGCTTTCGAAAGCATTTTTTCAAACACTCTTGAGGACCGATACAAGAGTCGAACTGAAAATTTTCAAAGAAACTTTTTAACCCACAATTGAAAAGCAAACACTTTTGAAAACACAAATGAGCAAGTATCTAAGAGCCCATGGATAACCATGGATAGAAAGGGTGCTAACACCTTCCCTTTCTATAATCTACCTCCCGAACCGAGAGCAATCTCTTTAAGGAATTTTTCTGTGCTTTTGTCCTTTCCATTTGGAGAAAATAAAAGACGGTGGCGACTCTTGCTTCCGCGACATTTCGCGAACCAGCGTTAAACAGTCAGTTCCAGATCCACCGATCACAATATGTAAATAAGAAATTTAAATAATGTTTAAATAGACTAATGAATTAAAAAATCAATGATACTAAAAGTTTATATGCATTGATTTATTTAACTTTTTAATTAGAATAAGTTTTGTGAGACTATTTGTTTAAGAGGGCTTGTGAAAACAACTTATAACATTGTTCATAAGGTGTTTTCGTCTTATTTTCATAAGTTCTCCCAAATAACCAAGTTTTATTTATGTATTTTGATTCAAAGTACAAAACATAACATAATGATAATAAAAAAAATTATTCATATTTATTTATATAGGCCGGCCTGTTAGGCCTAAAAGACTTTTTTCATGGCATGAGGTCTAACCTTTTTAATTAAATAGACTTGTAAAAAAACCTTGGTTTAGCTCGAGTCTATGTAGGTTAGGCCATAGCCTGAGCTTATGTAGTCTAGGCCGCAGGCCCCTGCTATCGGCCTCACCTATTTCCACCCTTACTTTTGAGAGAAGATAATAGCATTAGGTTTACACCAAATTCCGTATCCGGTTTCAACCAAAGCCACTTTCAACATTCTCCTTTTCCTACCTTTCTTCTTGGACTCAAGACTAATTCATATTTTCTCATTTTCCCACCTCAAGGTTGCCTTTGGTATCCTATTAGCTCAAGGACTTTCTTCCACCAAAGATGTGCAACCCTGCATTCAAAAACCAAGTGATCTATTGATTCAACATTCCTAAATCGGGTAAAACGGTCCTTAGTGGGGAGTCTCTCATGTAATGCCATCCATAACAAGAAAACAACCCGCGGACGAGCAAAATTCTCCAGCACAATCTTATTCCACTAAACTTTAGGTTTCTCTCCTCTAATGGATTTATACATGTCCCCTATTTTGAGTTCCCCTTTCCGAGTAGCATCCTTCCAATATTGCATTTGGGTACTTTTATCTCTATATTTCACAATTTTCTTCATCAATACAGAACAAGTGGTATTAGGCTTCCACTCCATGATGATTCTACCTTTCAAATAGTAAGTGCTAACCCATTTAACCCATAATTTGTCAGCCTGCTTTGAAGGTTCCATAATAGTATAATAATAGCAGCCTTGTTCCATTTGCTCAATGATATGATGTTCAAACCACCAGTAATTTTAGGATTACAAATAGTATCCCAGGCTATTGGGGACTTTTTAGTACCTTTCTCCATGTCGCTCCACAAGAAATTCCTGCATATAACTTTTATTTGGTGGATAACCTTCATCGGGATAGGGAAAACCTGCAGCCAATATCTAGCAATAAAGATAATAACACTATTAATCAGCATCATTCGCCCTGCATAGCTCAACATTTTGGCCGACCAATGGCAGATTCTACTCATAATTCTATCTACTAGAGGTCTATAGTGGTGCACATCCAGCTTTCTACTCGACAATGGCATACCAAGATATTTAAAAGGAAGCTATCTTTTAGAGAAGTGAGTTGCATCCATAATTTTCTGTTGTGTGGTATCATTCACCCCACCAAATTTTCTTTACATATAGATGGGTTAGCAATCATACATGTGGCTTCTGAAAATTTTCTAGACTCCTCCATCATGATTTCAACCTAGCCTTCATCACCCCTTGAGAAGAGAATATGGTCGTCCGTGAAGCATATATTCATGATGTTCATTTTCTCACATTTAGGATGAAAATTGATGTTTGGAATTTTTTGGAGCTTCTTCATACATCTATTCATGTAATCCATGATCAACACAAAAAGCAAAGGCGATATTGGATCGCCTTGCCTGATACCTCGTTCATCTTCCAGAATGTCACTATAATGTCCATTTATATTGTATCTATATGAAACAAATCTAACATAAACTATTATCCACTTGACAAGTTTCTCCGAAAAATTCATTTCATGCATTATGCTTTCCAATGCTGTCCACTCCACCGTGTCGTAGGCTTTTTGGATGTCAATTTGAATAGAACATCTAGGATAAAAGTGTTTTATATTGTACTCCCTCTGACCTTATTTATAAAAGTCTTTAAAAAAAATTGGCCTTAAATATAAACAAATATACACAAATCTATGTGCATTTAAGGATTGTATAAAAAATTATCTCTGAATTAATTGCTCAATATTGTTAGTGGATGACAATTTGATTGAGGGTATACTAGTAATTATCTTATCCTCTTACATGAAATCAAGAAAATTAAATGCACTCAAGTGTTTTTCTTAATAAACGTGAAATTTGTCTTTTTTTGCTTATAAATCAGGCCGGGGTAATATCCTCTAAGCGTTTCCAGCATAATTATAATATTGTCGCGAATAACTTTCCCTGTCACAAAGGCCGACTGGTTTTCATCAACAACCACATGAGTAATTTGCTTAAGTTTATTCATGAGAATTTTTTAGATGATTTTGTAGAGAGTCGTGCAACACACTATCAGTCTCATGTCTTTCACAGCTTTGGCTTCAGTAGACTTAGGAATTAACGTCACAATCGCACAGTTTATGGCTGCAAATATTTTGTTATCATTGAAAAACTCCTGAATAGATTTATTAACATCCTCTTTAACCACATGCCATTCATTTTTGAAAAACTTAGTTGTGAACCCATCTAACCCTGGATCTTGGAATCACCAATACTACTCAGCGCCTTCCAAGTTTCCTCTTCTGTAATAAATTGGATCAATTGTTATTGATGCATCTCTTACAGTTGGGGCCCCTCTCTAATGGCTGCAATATCCACATGTTTAATTCTGTGAGCTTTAGTGCCAATCAGATTGTTCTAAAATCTCATCACTTCCTGCTCGATGTCCTTCTCTTCAGTAAGAATTCTGCCCTGTGGGTTCTCAAGTTTGTGTATGCCAATTTGTTTATTTTTCCTTTAATGATGGCATAGAAATAAGCATTATTTCCATCCCCATACATGAGCTAATCAACCTTCTCCTTCTGCATAAGGATTTTCTCCTCATCATCACTGGCTTGTAGCAACTCTTCAGTCCATTGGTTGTTCAATTGGATGAGATTCTGATTGAATATATCCTTAGTAAGAAGATTTTTTATTTGAGCAAACTTGCTTCTTATCTCTTCAATTTTGTTCACTCTGTCATTAATATCTTTATTCATACTTCTCATCACAGGCTGAAATCTTTTGAGCTTGTTCCAAATCAGATACATAGGTCTTCCCATTAAATCAATGTTCCAGTTATTGCTCACAATCTCCATAAACTATGGATGCTCGGTTATGCAGTTCAAAAATTTAAAAGGTATTTTACAAGTTTGTGTTCTCCTCTTATGCCCCCACGATTGGACCATAATATGAACATGATTAAATATGACGGTCAGTACATTCATTGTTTCTGTTTGAGCTTTTCACCACAGTCCACTCCTATTGTATTTCTTGTATCTCAGGCTATTCTGGTTCATTACTCTCTACTTCTTTATTTGTACCTTTTACCTCAACTTTCTCAGGCTTCTTTGTCTTCCATATGTGTTTCTTTGGTTGCATGACCTTTCTTTTGCACTCATGACCCATTTTATTGCAGGATTTGTAATGTAGTGGTTTCCACTCATATTCATCCTTTTGTGTAATCTTTTTCTCTTTAGGCTACCTGATATTAATGTGATCCTTTAACTCAACTGTAACATCCACCTCAACTAGCACCCTAGCATATGATACACTCATCTGTCATTAAAGGCTTACCAATGACGCTTGCAATCTTGCATATACTTTTATCTCCCCATAACATTAGTGGCAGTTGAAGGAGAATCACCCATATTGGCAACACCCTCAAGAGATTATCCTTCAGCGGAAAGTCAGGGGTCCATTCATGAAGAAACATCAGTTTTCTGTATATCGTGTAAGGGCCTCGCATCAGAACAACATCTTTCTCACTTTTAGACTTAAATTTGATTATAAAGTATCCTTCATCATTAAAGAATATCTCAGGCATTGTGACAAAATTCCATACATTCTCCATGAATCTCTACACATCATTCATTGATTATTCCTAACCTAAGGCATACATAACCAGAGAATGTTCCCAGTACATCATTTCAGAAGCCACTTCAATTTCCCCATCAACTATTTCAGGTGCCACATATTCAATTTCAAGACCATTGGAAGCTAAACGATTACTTTTATTTCTCCTTTCAATCAGGTCCCTAATCCTAACTTTAAACCATCTCGATTGGATTCGCAATAGTTTAAAACCCGATATTTGTTCGCAACTAGAAATCACTATTCCGTTAATCAGAAATCGCCAGAGCTAAGAGAGAAATTTTTTATTATCAACATTATATTTATTATTATTATTATTATTATTATTATTATTATTATTATTATTATTATTATTATAGTATAATTATTGTTATTATTTTAATTATTAATATTGTATCAATTTAATAAATAATTAGTATTTTTTTGAAAAAATTTAATATATTAATTATGAAACAATTTTGTAAATAGATAATACAAAAAAATAGATATCTAGGATTAGAATTTGTTTAATTTTGTGTAATTTATTCAAAAAGTCATTCGGTCTTTAAAAACATAATACTAAAAAAGTAATTTAGTCTTTTAGTATATTAAGCAAAGAACAAAATGTCTAAATATAATAAAAACACATGTTGAAGATACCACACATGTTTAATGACCAACTTATTTAGACACATTTAGAAGTAAAAAAAGTCACACATGTTAACACCCCAACTCAAATGGTATATTGTAAGACATCAAAATTGGAAAAGTAATAGGAAGAGACTTCGCATTTGAAAGGTATCAATTTTCTAAAGAAGTAGAGAAGTCAAAAAGAACATTTGCATCTTCTTCTTTAAAATAGATCCCACACCCCAACATCACCTTTTTCATTTGGCGGTGAACATGACTTCAGGAGACAAACGCGATTGTGTTTCCGGATAAACACATGAATCTGAGACGAAATTTTTGTTATTTTATGATTGTAGCATCTTAACTATTGTTACTGATCGTAACAATTCATTTAAGATTTTAATTAATAGTAGAGGTATAGGAAGCACAACAATTTTTTTACTGGCGTGCATGATGTATAAACAATGTGTGTTGCATGTTGATATTTTATACAGATCTGGAATCCACAAGCAATGATATTTGGACAAACATGGATGAGGGGTTGAATAGATACTTGAAATTTAAAATGAGTTTTTAAACAAAGTTTAAAATGCAGTGAAAGCTACCCGGATACACTCGTCTAAAAACGATCCTCTATTGAAAAGACCGGATATGCATAAAACTGAATGGAATGAATCAATGAGAATTATTAATACTTAACTGAATTATAATTGATCACTTATCCTCTTTAACTATTGTCAATTACTTCCAATTAATTGTTGAGAAGAAAACTCACAAATTTGCACTTTTGGACTTTTATCGAACACTTGGTGTGCATAGTCACACCAAGTCCAATCTATCTTAAATTGTAGTGTTAAAACCAATTATAGCAATCAAAGTGATTACTATAGTCCTTAGCAATAGTTCTATTGCACTACAAATCCAAACACTTGGAACCACAAGTGCAAATTCACAGATTATAGCAAATAAACGCTAAAAGACGAGAAAGAAAAATGACATGCGATTTGTTTAGGCAGTTTCCCCTATCGTCCTCGCGCGGGGTACATCTACCCCTAATTCTAGAAATTAGAATTAGGATAATTTCTATTATAATTGCAAAGTTTATACAAGAGATAGAAAATAGTCACCACGATTCAAACTCAATATGTTGAATTGAAAACTAAGCTCCTATCTTCCCTTGATTCGATTTGAACCAAGTATGTCACTAATCTTCGATAAACCTCCGGTTGTAGCTACCTTGTTAAGAACCTAAACAGTTTCTCAAACCATCTTCTCCGCTGATTTGATCGCAAGATGATGACCCTAATTCTTCCTTCAAAATCCTCGATTGTTGCTACCTTGTCGAGCGAACCCACGGTTCCTCAATCCCTTAAGCACGGCTGAATTTGATGAAGAAAAGAATTGTCAAAAAACTCCAAATCCCAATGATCTTGGAGAACAAAACACTCAGATTTTATTCAACAAATACCCACAATTACTCAACCCGAACAAGATCGTAATTGTTGTACCCAAAAATTTTCCCTCCCATATTCTTCAAGGTTTGTCAAGAATCATCTTCAAATGGTTCAAGATTGCTCAAGAGATTGTACAGTCAAACCATCTCCTAAGTCAGCTGAAATTAGGGTTTGGGTTCTTTCGAGGAATTTGGGGTTTCCAATGGTTCAATCAAGACTCATAAGCCCATATACATTGTCAAGCACCTACATGCCAAGTTTCAAGACTCACAGTGCCAATTTGCACAGTCAAAAGCTTCATTTGAACTACAGTCAACTGCAGGGGTAAAATGGTCATTTTGCAGTCAAAAGTCAAAAAATTTGGTCAATATCTTATTTTGAGTCCACAATCATCATTTGATCAAGTCTTGATCATGATTCCACAAGCATGGCTCAAAAATCATCAAGATGCAAAAAGTTACTATTTTTGGACAGCAGAAAAGTCAACTGTATCTTGACCAGGGCATAACTTTTTCATGGTTCATCAGAAAAATCCCATCCAATGCTAATTTTGAAGGGGATGACATTTCATACAATCCATCTTCACATTCCAAGTCCAAGAAATGCTCTCACAAAAAGTTATCAATTTCTACATTATAGGTCAAATTCAAAAGTCAACAAAAATGCACTTTAAGTCAAAGGCCATAACTTGAGATTGGTAAATCCAAATGACATGGGACCAAAGGCATTGGTTAGAGGACTTCAAGACCTTTCCAAAATGTCCAAGAACATGTTCATATGATCAAAATTGAGCATGAAATGCATTGGAGAAGTTGGGAAATTTTTGTGAATTTGCAAAAGTCAACTTTGCTCAAAACACCTTATTTTTGCTAATGGGCCTCAAATTTCTTCTTGAAACTTTATCCATGACTTATGCACGACCCATTAAGCTTAATTGAATTATTTTCTTATTTTTTATTAATTAATTGGATTTTTAATCAATATTAATTCATTTAATTAATTTAAATTGTAGGAAAATACAAAGATTTGATTTTTCAATCTTTTTGTGAAGCAAAGATGACCTAAAAAGGCTGGAAATTTCGTGTACCAAGTCAAAGATGCCATATCTCCCAAATTGGCAACTTTCTTCAATCAAAAAGATTCAAAAATATATGATTTTCAATCAAATATTCAAATCATCATTCCATGGATTTCTTTGCAAGATTTTGACCTAATTCTATTCTATTATAAATATGCAAGCCAACCCTAACCATGAACACGTGAAATCTCTGCAGAAAAAGCCATAACCAATTCAAGAAAACTTGAAAACTATTTTCTATATTCCAGGCCAATTCAAGAACTTTTATTGATTCTAATACACTGCAGGGGATCCCAGGAACGTGTAGCAATCAAAACCAGGCCTTAAAGCTCAAGAAATCATCACTTACAGTCGCACGGTTTGCCTCTTTTTTTAATTATCGTAACTCATGATTCATAAGCATTTGATATGATTTCTTGTTTGTTTTGTGTTGTTAGAGACCACAGGAAGCTATTGGCATAGTTTAATTGGATTAAAACGCACAGAATCAAAAGATGCCATTGATGAATTTTAGGGTTCATAAGCTCTTAAATTAGGGCTTTACAATCCAAGAACAATTAGGGTTCATAATGCATATGGTTGGAATCGTCAAGACCAGACGAACACACAGGGACCCTCGTGAAATATTTATATTCATCACAGGCCTAATCGCTATTTTTCCTCATGGTATATTGTGGGGGTTAAAAACCCCCGCTATCTGTTTGAGTTTTTTACAGGAAATATGAAGAAGATGATGATGTGGTGATGTATCATTGGACCATTCAAAAAAGAAGCGCGCGTTTTCTTTTGTGCAGCATATGAATTAATTCTTAATATAATGTTTGTTTATTGTTCTTATAACAAACGCGTGCAAATGACTTGGTGGTTGATGTGCTGGCTTGGAATCATTGGGACCTGGGTTCGAATCCCAGGTCCACCCAAAACACTTTTATTGTTTTTCTTTACAGGTTCATATGCAGCATTCCAAAAGCGTTCCACCATGTACTTCTAACATCCAAGCGCCAAGTGGCCTTAAGCACAAATCCTGTGGCCAAAGATGAGGGACCATTGTACTCCCTAGTCAACCAACGCCTGGCCAATCAAAGAAATTCAAAAGGCTTGAGATTAATGGGCCAGAAATTCCAAAACTCACCTCTCTATTGGGCCAGCACCCCCCCTGGTTTATTATTCCTCTTTTATATTTTTTCCCATTTAATTATTTTTATCAATTATTAATTATTATTATTATTAATTAACATAATTATTATTTTCATAATAAATTCAGAAAACTAAAATATTTTTATTATTATTATTTATTAATTTCACCTTTAATTTATTATTTTTGTAAATAAATGTGATTAATTAATTTAGTTGTTTTAAATTAGGTTTA